TTATAATACCTAGAAGAATATTAGAACTTTCTACAGAGGAAATAGTCCTACAAGGGGATCAAATCTTTGGTTTGATTATTATCAACTTTTTATTTATGGCAATGATTAAATATTTTTTAACCCAATTCCCTGGGAACCAAAAAGTCACTTATGAGAAAATAGCCAGATAACAAATCTCTTAAATAAAGGCAGTCGGTGGTGCTTGTCAAACCTTGAAAATATACCACTGTTATTCATAGTCATGCTCAGTTGAATTTGAGAGGAGCACTGAAGATAAACCTTTTCCTTTGGGTTATATACTGAAAAATACTTTAGAATGGGAAAATATTGATTATTCTTGGAAAAGAATCTGGAAATACTAGTCCAATTATAGTATCCTCATCAAAACTTGAAGCTCAGCCTTTTGTGAAAACTCGACAAAAACAGTTTAGTTTGTAAGTAGTTCACATATTAAAATAGACGAAAATAGCATATATAATGAGCTGCCATAAGCATTCAAAAGGACACAAGGATATTAGAGTTATGTATTGTCCTTGACTCTATACAAAGATAATTTTAGAACATGAGCATCTTGCATATGTAAGAGCCGTATATAGCATATTCAAAAGAGATTTTTTAGTGCAGATTACATATAACAGAAAAATACATTTGCTCTAGCTAAATAATATTTTAATAACATAACCATCTAAATAGTAACACTATCTTAGATAAATATAAAAAGTGAATTGTAATATGATCAAAATAATCATACTATATGAGTATGGGGCTAGAGCTGAAACTAACAAGAAGTATCAAACATTACAGGTTATACAACTATAATACAATGATCAAACTATTAAGTTTTAAGATGAAGGAAACACGAAGACACTTAGTTTACCCTCATTTCCTTACAGATAATGGCAAGATGTACTTAATCTGGCAGTAGATTTTACGGTTCTCTCAGTAGAAGCTAGAGTTTGAGCACTTTTTGAATCTTATTCTTAGTACGGTGCCTAGTAAAAGCATTTTCTCTTTGAATTTTAATTATTATTCTATGAGGTTGGTATAGTGGGACGAATGAAATTACTTTTTCTACGGGGATTAGTTTTGAATTAGGTGAAAACTTCATGAAATCAAAATTTCTCTGCAAAATGTGTCAGAGGAAGTTGCCACATGAGAGATGAATACAAAACTTTTCTCCAAATCCTTACCACTGGGTTTTGTTCTGTAGTAGCAGATTGTCATCTCTTGAGTGACAGATCAAGTAGTTGACTTGCTTTGTACCAAAAAATAGATATCTTTAAACACCAGTTGATCTTGATAATATTTTATATTAAGTATGTATTCTACTATTGTGACTGAACAGCTTTTATTACAACTATTTGCAAAGGAAGATAAAAAGTTATACCTAGAATCATTTTCCTAAAAGCAAATTCAAAAACATGAGAAAAGAAGCATGGTGTTCACTGTTTCATATAAGCCAAGTCTTAAGGTTTCAATAAATGAGTTTGCTATCTTTATAATATCTTTATATGTATATATAACATCTTTGTATATATCTATGTAACATCTTTATAATTGTACTTATAATAATTTCAATGTGCTTATTCATATTTCTTGTGCACAGTCAAGTTATAATGTAAGCAGTACAGATTTTTTTGAGGCAGGAATACTTGAGTTCTAATTTAATCTGGCTTTTATTCCTTGGTTGACCCAACATGTTTCTTCTAAACTTTAGTTTTAATATGTGGCAGATGTGAAAAATAATTTCAAACTCATGAGATGGTTGTTGTTGAGGATCGAGGAGGTAACCCATATAAAGCACCTTGGAGTGTCCTTACTAAAGAGTAGATGCCATTTCTTCTAGGGAAAAATGTATTAAAATAGATTGGGAAATGACACTACCATATGAATTTCCACTATTCCCATCATCACTTTAGACATGACTTAGGTAAAATTCTATGAGGTCTCTATATTGCAATTTCATTATCTATACACCAGCACTTTGTTCTCATTCATCCCTATCCTACTTACTCCTGCCATAAATAGTCCAGTCTGCTACTTGGGATATGGAAAGACTTGGAGACCTGAAATGAAAAAAACCAAGAAGAAAACAAAAGATCTAAGTGATCTTTAACTCTTTCACTTTTCATAGCAGAGGATACTATTCCAAAGTACACAGGTCTGTTCCTCAAAGCAGTTAATGAGGCTTCCTTAGACTGGGCTTGTGTCTGCTTTTTCCATCACTATTTCTCCTGTTGCTATTATAAAGGCTGTTATTTACTATTCATTCAATAAATATTGGTGGGATGAACAAATAGATGAATTAAAACCTCTCCAATATACAGAGGATGTTTCCTTAGTTCCACCAATGATATTTTAACTTTGTGTATATGATACACAATGCGCATTACATAGCTTTCCATCATGTATTATTTCTTAGAGTAAAAAGCATATTTTAATGTCTACTCAGTAGAGAAATAAGACTGATTAGAGCAGGGGTTGGCAAACTATGGTCCAGGGACCCACCTGACTATTTTTTGTAAATAAAGTTTTATTGGAACACAATCATAGCCATTTGTTTATTTATCGTTTATACATGCTCTCTGATTACCATGGTAGAGCTGAGTGGTTGTTTTAAAGATTTTATTTATTTATTTATTTTT